TTCTACTATGGCATTATATTAATAAAAAAAAAAAAAAAAAAAAAAAAACAAAACTTTAAAATTTTTTTCAGTAATCCTGATAAAGTTTTCGGGAATTTCTGTGGAATTTCTGTGGAATTTTAGCGAAAAATAAACTATTGTTCTGAATTAGGCAAATTAATCGTAACCAAATTATCTTATAATTTATATAATATCTTTTGTAAACTCGTAAATTCTTTATGGTTTCATTAGGAGGTAAGAATTTGTTTATTATATTTTTTAATTATGCTTTATAATTTAATAAAAAGAAAAAAAACGAAGAGATCAAAATCTTTTAAAATAATTTTATTTCAAATCATCAATAATTTGAAAAATTTCCAAAGATCTTATCGTTTAGTGCAACTTAATGTCGATAATATTATTCTATTTGTTGCAACTATACACAAAAATACATTTTTGAATCGGTGACTCGAAATAATAATAATTAACAATACATGTATAAGAAAACAAAAGATAATCCATTTAAGAATTCAGTACCCAGATGCAAAATTTGATTTATCCTAATCACTGCTGTCTTCAGGGTCCCAAGAACCCGATGCCAATTTGGGTTTGTCCCATTCACGCACACCATCATAAACTAATTTTTTTTCATCATCTTTAGATTTTATATTTTCAGGATCCCAAGAGCCGGATGCTAACTTGGGTTTATCCCATTCGCGCACACCATTATAAGTAACCTCTTCGTTGGTTTTTAAACTTTCAAGATCCCAACAGCCATTTAATTTTGGCATATCCCATTCACGTACAACTTTAGTTTTCTTATGTTTTGTATCAGAGTCCATATCACTATCAGAATCTGTTGATAACTCAGAATCAGAGTCTCGCCTGCGCTTTTTTTTTGATTTTCTAGATTTTTCTGGACTTCTTTTTTTTTTTTTTTTTTTTTTTCCTTTCAGTTTTTTTATTTTCAAAATTTTTTTCAAAAATTGAAAATTTTAAATAAATCTTATTTTTTTTTTTTTTTTTTCAAGTTTTTCAATAGTTTCAATTTCTTCTTCGGTAATAAGTGGTAAGTCTTCGGTTTTGGTTGATACTTTTTTATTGACTGCAACGTAATTAAGCCAAGCAAATTTTTCAAAATCGTACATGGGATCATAATCTTTTTCAAAGTATTTATCCATTTTCGATCCATCACTAACTTCACCACGACCTTTACGTTTAATAACCGGAGCACTTCTACTTACTTCTGATGCGGAGCAAACATTAATCTTTGGAGACATTGATATTGGTGAAATTGACATATCACTGTTACTCATATCACAGTAATCCTCATCATGATTATTCACATCATGATTATTCACATTATGGTTATTTACATCATGGTTATTCACATCGTGGTGGTTATTCACATCACGTTTACTTTCTTTCCTAGAACTACTTGAACTACGACTCGAACTTGAACTAGAATTCGAACTTGAACTAGAGCTTGGGCTTCTAGATCGTCTATATTCATAATTCCTATGTCTACTTCTTCGTTTTCTTCTCCTAATTAGAAATAATATATGTATTTTGTTATTATTATATAATTTATAT